GATTCTGCCAAAAGAAATATCTTGCACAGGATCAGGATGTCCAATCCAGCTGCTCTATGTGGAATGTGCCATTCGATCGACGCCTGCCCTTCAATTCACTTCACTTCTTTTTATTTTTCTTTTGCGAAAACAAAGCTAGTTAGTGCTACTCGTGGCGCATGTTTGTGTTCCATAGTGGGTGATAAAAGTAAGTAAAAGTGATTGAACCAACAGTGCAAATAATTTATTGATGACGTCTATATATAGTTGCAAATGTTGTGTGTAAACGTTAAGCAAGACGGTCGCTGAATTGTCAACCGTCGCATAGTTAAAAAGGCATGGATTAACCCTAATTAATTGGACTCTTTGTAACCCTAACCCTAATCCTGCCGCCTCCACCCTTCCTTCCTCCTTTTCCCTTGCTGCTGCTAGAGACTAGTGGCCGGGCAAAACCACATTGCTAGTCGATGATAGCGGTGGCGGGGATGTCACATGGCGAGTTGGCGACTAGTGGCGGAAGAGGTGGTTGTGCGCCGGTGATGGTAGGATTTCTGGTCTTAGCTAGTGCCCTCTAGTGGCGAGGCATTGGTGGCCGTAATTCCCCACAACAGACAGGCTGGAGGTTCTTCGTATTTCATATCGTCAATGGGGTCGAGACCCCTTCGCATGCTACCGGAATGATTTCACTGTCGCACGCGAGAACGACAAACCAAGAGGCGGCGCGTGGTTGTCGCACGCGAGTGACAAATCGGTGGATGATTTCGCTGTCACCGATTGTCACTCGCGAGGATGACGTGGGATTTTCAGAATGTCCCTAATTGGGGCTTTGGTGGTGCTCGTGAACTCCCCCTCGTCAATGTTCATCGTGTGGTGTGTCGACGGTCTTCGTTGTTCTAAGCCTTTGGTGGCGATTGAATCTTTTGGCGGCTTGAATGTATGCTTGTGCGAGCGGTCACCACACCACTTGGGTTGCATCGCCATGACTGTGCATGCATGTAGCAACATCATGGAAAGTGGCGAGAACACAATATGACTTTGATTTAGTGGTGCTTCTCGAGTATTCGTTCACGGGCTTCAGGGTGAATATCCAAGCTTGAATCATAATTGGTCATACATGACAATAGTGATGTTTATGCGTCGATACCATGCTAAATGTATTGCTCAACTTCCTAAGAGTCGGTCTTCATATTGAAAATTTGGAATTAATCTTTTGGTGGTTGGACCCGGTCACGTTGGGGTTTGACCGTCTTTCCTTTTTTGAAGGCGTAGATGTTGAAGAACATTTTTTGATCCGAGAAAAATTCATTCAAACACAAACTAGGAATGTTCTATTAACTAGGGTAATTCTTAATATGGATTAATAACCCTATAGGGACAATAATTCTTAACATGGAATGTCTGAGAGCATCTACAGCCGGGCACTCCAATCCGGCCTCAAACATCTGGGCAGACGGCTTGGTCCGTAACCTGTTAAAAAAGTCAATCCAGACGGGCGCCTCAAATGCCTGGCTGACAGGCACCCCTCATATCCAGTCCAAATATGGGGCGGATATGAGGAGGCAAGGGCATGACTAGGCGCGTCTGCCACATTGGACGCGACATGCCCAGCGCACCACAAATTGCATCAAATCCATCAAACTCTTCCTCTCCTCTCGCCTCCCTCCAGCCTTTCCCGCGTCTGAGCCCTTGCCGGCTGGCACCCTTGCTCCCCATCCTTGCCACCGGTCCCGATTCGCCATCCTATATGTCGTCCAGTCTGTCCCCGACCGCCATGACAGAGGTTGCGTCCGCCTCGTCCATCAGCGCCCTGTCCTCGGCTTCATCCTGCAAGCCGGAGAACATCGCTGGGAGGGACCGGCGGTGGAGGCAGCAAGAGAGAGAAGCGTTGGCGTTGCAGGGAGCGGATGAAAGTATAAATGAACCGTTGAATTGGGACGATTTTTATCATATGACCGACGTGCATGAATTTAATGATTCATATTTAAAGTATGTGAATGTATGGCAACCCAAATACAGTAAAAGGCTGTCCGGTGCTGTCCGCGGATGCTCGAGCGAGTAGTACTTTAGAGCATGTCCAACAGCCGCGCTAAGCGCCGCGCGCAAAAAACCTGTTTGCCGCGCGCGCTTCGGCTGGTTTAGCGCGCCCTCCTGCGCTGGCTCCAGCAGCCGCGCTATAATGCAGCGCGCGCGCGCCGCTCCAGCAGAGCGCAAAAATACAGCCCACGCGCCGCACAAACCACATATACATGTATTATGAGCAAAAATGATCAAACAAACAAAATAAATCAACAATAAATAGTTCAATTTCGTTATCATTACAACTCAAACAAATAGTTTATCGTTCAGTACAACAAATGCAATAAACACAACAAATAGTTCATCAACAATACAATGTCGAATGCAGATATCATCATGCTGAAGCGCGGGCGCGCGGGGATAGGCCGGGGAAGCCTGAACGGTCGCCGGGGGGCACGGGCGGCGGCGGCGGCGCGGCCGGACGGGGGGGTGGAAGTGGGAGAGGAAGTGCGGGTGCGAGCGCTGGGGTGTGCCGCGCGCTGTAGCTGGCGCCCGAAATACACCGCGCGGCTAAGTGTTTTCGACCGCGCGCCCAACCCGTTATAGCGCGCGTGCCGTTTTTGCGCGTCCGCTGGAGCAACCCGCCGCTTTGCGCGCGCACTAAAACGGCCTAATTTGCAGCGCGGCGCTAGTTTAGCGCGGCGGTTGGAGATGCTCTTACCTCTCGGCAAAGGCGGGCGCCGAAGTGGCGGGGACAGCGCTGTTGATGAAATCCTCCTCGTGCAGCGTGTGCTTGGCCCGATTCGTCGAGTGAGCCTGTGTGTCAAGCGCCGTCTGGACACCCCGGAAGTTGACCACGCGACGGGAACACAGTCCTGGCAGGTCGGTCTAGATGCCAATAGCTATACATGGTTTCAGACGAATTCGCCTACAGTGTCGAGTGGACGGACATGCGGATTCCTGTGAAGTGGCTTTGACCACGAGACTTGCAGTCTCACGTAATTCCCAAATCCCAAGTATAAGCAAAACTTTGCCCACACGAAAAAGGTATTAAAACAAAGAAAAACTTGAGGTCGCGTTTGTAGTGGTACGTGTCGTGTGCCTGTTTGTCAATCCCACGTAGATTAGGCGGGTCAACATTTTTCTTTTCTATATGGGGAACTTCAGCCAAATTGAAGGTAAGCTTCCTCGGTTTTTACTGCTGTATTCCAAGACAGTGGAGAGCTAAATAACCGAGAAAATACCTAGTCCGATTAGACTTGGTTGCTATCCACTTTGTAAAAGGAGAAAGGGTATTATTACGTCGGTCTCACAAAGACTAATCAACTGTCACGATGATTTGCTAGCTCCGTCTTGAGAGTGCTCATAGAAAGAGAGTCCACGTATATGTGCATATAAATAAACATATATGTGCATACTGTGTAAAACAAAACTCTTCACACATTAATGCACCAGGTCCGCCTGACAGAACTTAATCTCGCATGCTTTCGCTGCGAGAAAATGCATGTCCTAAAAGAGCTTAAACAATCTCAAAAAATAAGAAGAGCTTAAGGGCATCTTAAACTCCGATCAATTTTTTCTGCATCTGTTCACAGACAGGAGGGTCAGTCCACGGACACAGATACAGAAGGCCGCCATCCAACGCTGCCATCCGGCCTTCCTAATTTTGTTTTTGAAAGTTCACATGTCCAAATAGCCGCATACATCAGTAGTTCAAATTTTAGAAAGTTTAAATATACATTCCAACATTGTTGTCCCCTTTAACCTTTCACATATGCTCAATCAGATCTTCATCCAGCTGCTCGTGAGTTACTCATCGATGTCAAACTTGTCGATGCATTTGAATAAACGGTTTAAATATGGCCGGATTCTGGTTTGAAAGTTTGACAAACCCATGTTTTCAAATTCTAGAGCTATGTCGGCATCCTCACCTTCATCCTCGACGATCATGTTGTTTTTATCATACAACATGTCATCACTTCACACAAGGTATGTAGATCCCATTGTTTGAAAGAAGAAGGGACAACTTTTTTAGCCTCGGCAAATCATCGAACAATTGCCGGGCACGATGAGTCTAGCAGTTGTGGATTGTACCTGACGGGGCGGTTGGAGGAGAGGGGTTGAACGGCGGCGGAGGAGAAGCGGGGTGGAGCTCAGCTGAAACGATGGAGGTGACGTAGACGTAGAGTTTTGGCATGGGTGTGGCGTGACGTCCAGGATGATGGAGCAGTGGCGAAAGTAAGAGAGAAAGAAGGAAGGAGAGAAAATGAAGGCCTACGTGGTTGTTGTCCGGATTCCCGCAAGGTCTCCCACGTCTGTCTCCAGTTTGTCGAAAAAAGTATGTCCGGATTGATCGGCGGATTGATACGGACCCGCATTGGATGGCAAACCGTGTCCGGACAATACGATCCGAACATATGCGGGTGGTACGAGGGTCGGCGTTGGAGATGCCCTAACCACATATAGGAGTGCCACGTCACCTGATCCATCGTGCCGCCACCAGCCAGCCCGGTGTGCCGCACCGCATCGACCGGTCACTGCTCACCACCCACTAGAGCACACAGTCCGGTCTCGGGTGGCCTGGCTTCCGGCGTTCCGGCCCGGGAAAAGGAAGAGCGAGACGTGCGTGTGAAATATCGTCGCTCGCTCGTCAAAGCCGTGGTCAAGCGCCCATGTCTTCACTTCATTTTCCCCGCAAACCCCGACCCCGACCCCAACCATTTCCCTTTCTTTTCTCCCCGGACCGCGTGCCCCCGTCCTGCCGCTGCCTCTGCACCACCCCCAAACGCAAATCACATTTGCTCCCACAGCTATATAAACAGCGCCAGCCCTCCACTGTCCGAATCACTCCCTCCCCCACACCGCCTACTGCTCCAGCCCACAAGGCCACTCCTGTCTGCTGCCACTAGCCAGCACCCATACGGAGCCAGCAGCCCGACACTCCTGCCCGTTTCAGGACACACAGCCGTTTTCGGGCCACTTTGACACTCGTCGCCGCGGAAGACATGGACCAGCTCCCCAAGCTCGCGGCCAACTACGCGCCTCTCAGCCCGGTGGGCTTCCTGCCGCGCGCCAATGCCGTCTACGGCGACCGCGCCTCCCTCGTCTACGGCCGCGTGCGCTTCACCTGGAGCCAGACCCACGAGCGCTGCCGCCGCCTCGCCTCCTCCCTGCTCCTCACCCTCGGCGTCCGCAGGAACGACGTCGTCTCCGTGCTCGCGCCCAACGTGCCGGCCCTCTACGAGATGCACTTCGCGGTGCCCATGGCCGGCGCCGTCCTCAACACCGTCAACACCCGCCTCGACGCCGCCGCCGTTGCCGCCATCCTCCGCCACGCCGAGGCCAAGCTCTTCTTCGTTGACTATGATTACGTGCGCCTCGCCAGCGACGCGCTCCAGCTGATCGCCGCTGCCGGCGCGCCCGTCCCGCTCGTCGCCGTCATCGACGACCTCGACCGCCCCACCGGCGTCCGCCTCGGCGAGCTCGAGTACGAGGCGCTTGTCGCGCATGGTGATCCCACGGTCGAGCTCCCGGAGCTGCAGGACGAGTGGGACGCGGTCACGCTGAACTATACGTCCGGCACCACGTCCGCGCCCAAGGGCGTGGTCTACAGCCACCGCGGCGCTTACCTCAGCACCACCAGTTTGCTCATGTCCTGGGAGGTGGGCACCGAGCCGGTCTATCTGTGGACGCTCCCCATGTTCCACTGCAACGGCTGGACCTTCACCTGGGGCATGGCGGCGCGCGGCGGCGTCAACGTCTGCATCCGCGAGAACCGCCCCGCTGAGGTCTACCGCGCCATCGCCCGCTACGGCGTCACCCACATGTGCTGCGCGCCCGTCGTCTTCAACATCCTCCTCGAGGGCGGCGACGCCACCGCGCGGCTCGCCAAGCCCGTCAACGTCCTCACCGGCGGCGCCCCGCCGCCGGCCGCGCTGCTGGAGCGCGTCGAGAAAATCGGCTTCAACGTCACGCACGCCTACGGGCTCACCGAGGCCACGGGGCCCGCGCTGGCGTGCGAGTGGCGCGCCCAGTGGGACAACCTGCCGATCTCGGAGCGCGCGCGCCTCAAGGCCCGGCAGGGCGTCAGCGTGCTCTCCCTCGCCGACGCCGACGTCGTCACCGACGACGCCGCGATGGCCAGGGTGCCGCGGGACGGGAAGACGATGGGGGAGATCGTGCTCCGAGGCAGCAGCATCATGAAGGGGTACCTCAACAACCCGGAGGCGAACGAGAAGGCGTTCAGGGGCGGGTGGTTCATGACAGGCGACGTCGGCGTGGTGCACCCGGACGGGTACATCGAGATCAAGGACAGGTCCAAGGACGTGATCATCTCCGGCGGCGAGAACATCTGCAGCAAGGAGGTGGAGGAGGCGCTGTTCCGGCACCCGGCCGTGGCCGACGCGGCGGTGGTGGCCATGCCGCACGCGCACTGGGGCGAGACGCCGTGCGCGTTCGTGGTGGCGAAGGACAAGGCGGCCGGGGTCTGCGAGGACGACGTGATGGCCTTCTGCCGCAAGCGCATGGCGCGCTTCATGGTGCCCAAGAAGGTGGTGGTCTGGGACGTCCTCCCGAGGAACGCGCTGGGCAAGGTCGAGAAGGTGAAGCTACGGGAGGAGGCCCGGAAGCTGGTGCCGGCCGTGGCAGTGGCGCCGCCGGCGCAGAAGACGAAGGGGAAGCCGACGACGAAGACGGTCGGCGGCGGGCGCCGGGACGAGCACCCGGTGGAGCAAGTCATGGCCATGTCAAGGCTATAGGGCATGCAGAGCGCCATTGCCAACAACAAGCATACGTACGTGCGTTCCTACGTGCATTTTCTTCGTGATGTCGTACGGTTTGAAACCATGGTGGTCAGGTCATGAAGAGGTCTACGTGTGTTGGTAAGAAGTACAGTAGGAACTTGGCACCATGCATGCAGGCGTGCCAACGTTGCAGAAATAAGCAGGGAGTGCGGTTAAGACTAAAGAGAGCTAGCTGTGAAAAGCTCTATTCTGTATAGGATGAAACGAGGTCTGTGTTAGTGCAGTGGCACCAAACTGTTTTTTACTCTGTTTTTCTCTTCTTTTTCTGATGATCAATTGGAACTTTCATATATGTATACAATGTAAATATCCAGTGTGGAAATGCCAAGGAAATTCTTGGTTTCAATTTTTTTTTTGAGACAGGTTTCAAATCCTTCTGTAAGCACTTAACTAAAGGGGGTGACTAGATCTCAGTCGATTTAACCAAGTCCACATAATATGCAAGAGAGAAAAGAAAAAAAAACAAATTATTTTTTACGAATCTTAATGTAGGATCTCACGGATATAGCATCGACTGAGACTTAACAAAGTTTCGGTCGACTAAGACTTAGCAAGACTGTTAACTGAAAGTCTGCTATGATCTGCCCCCTCTGCAGTTGGAACCACGCGCTCCCTCGCTAACCTCAGCATTAAGCCGTTAGGTTCCATTTGCGTGTAAACATGTACGGCCATACAAGTCTTATTAAAATGTTATCAAGTAACCACCCCCACTGAACGCCATTTTCCTAAGAGTGATAGTGATACTGCTTGCCAGAAATTACTATCTCCCACTCTCACACGGTTTACGCTAGCTGCAAGATACTACTCCCTCCGTAAACTAATATAAAAACGTTTAGATCACTATTTTAGTTATCTAAACATTATTATATTAGTTTACAGAGGGAGTACTTGAAAGGACACGAGGATATTCGTGGAGAAGAGTGACAAGAGCTCTCGTGATTCTCGTTTCGACGCATTGCGACGACGTAACGCGCTGTACGAACTTGATGTAATTTATCCGCTTGCTCGCCCATCTCTTGTGATTGGGGTGGTAATTATTGTAAAGTGCGTCCGTCGGGGGCTCGTATTTTCAATAAAAGATTGCGACCGCGACCGGGTTTTGGTTGTCTTGTCAGAGCAGCTCTCATGTGCGGCGTGAATAAAACAGGGACCGTGTGTTGCGTATGTGGAAGGATTCGGAGTCCTGTGCTCAGCAGCAGCAGCAGCAGCAGCACAAAACATACAGCGGCAGCAGCAGTATTCATTCATTCAGCAGGCAGGAGGTCAGCACAAAACAGCAGCAGCAGTTCGGCAGCATTAAGCAGAGATTCAACACAAAACAGCAGCAGCATTAAGCAGCAATTTATTATATAGCCCAAAACAGCAGCTACATTAAGCAGCAACAGAGCACAAAACAGCAGGAGCCGGTGCCCAGATTTACAGCAGACTGTGTGTGATGGAAGTGGAACAAGGCCTTTTCTCATCTCGCTATCACATGGACACCACGGTGTGTGTGCGCCACCAACAACGACCGCTGGGCGACTCGGGCGCCGCCATCAACCCTAGCCTAGTCGGGCCTTCCTCCTCCCCGCCGCCGCCGCCGCCGCCGCCGAAGGACGCCGCCGGGCAAAGTCTGCGCGGCCGACGGTGGCGGCGGGGGCTTCCTCTCGTGACGGCCTCTTGCCTCTGTTGGGCAGCGGATCCGGAGGCATGTCGGCGCGCGTTGGGACCATGGGTCTCCAGCGACCGGCGGCTGAGCGCGGCGTCCGCTTGAGGGGCGTGCGCGGCGGCTATCGGCGGCGTGGCATCCGCTGCGTCGGAGGTGAGCGGTTGGGGCTGCAGCGTTTGCTAAATTTGGGCACGACCCAGATTGGATGACGTTGTGGTTCTCCAACTTGGCCGGATGCATGGCTGGTTGGCTACGTCATGGGCTCAGCCCTCATGGCGTTGATCGTTCCAGCGGCCAGCGAGGACTGGATCCCGGGGCGGCGGCCTCGGACGGCGGAGGATGCGGCTGTGGTCTCGCGACGGGCGACATGGCGGCTGGATCTTCGCGGCCAGGCGGGGCGTGCTGGCGCGGGGAGGCCGTGGTGAGCTTCTCGGTCCAGATCTGGATCGGGGGCTCCTCCGGCCTGCTGCATGGGCGGCGCGTCCTGTCGGCGGCGGCTGGATCCCGGGGCGGCGGTCCTGGAAGGTGGCGGCTGGTGAAGCTCAGGCTTCCCCCGGCGGCATGGCGTGGTGCAGTCCATATCCAAGGCGGATCTGCATCGGCGATATCATGGTTTGGCCATGGTTCAGATCAGAGACGGTGATGAGTGTGCGGGATTCATCCCGGCGGCTCTTGCGGTTTGGCGAGGTGGGGTGGGAGCCCTCCTCCCAGGCTCCAGTGGTGGCGCATTCAGGCAGTGGCTGGTGCGCCAGGGCTCCTACGGTGGCACTGCTGTTGTGGTTGGTCGCCGGATCTAGGCGGCTAGATCTGGGGCTTTGAAGGCGGTCGAGACAGTGCACAGGTTGTCGGGTGGATTTTTTGGAACTGATCCGGGTGAAAACTTGGTCTTCGGTCATTGGCCGGAGCCGGTGATGACGATGCTCTTATCATCGTTTCCTTCATGAAGGCATCATCGAGGTGAAGTTCCCAACCCCACCCAATACATCCGGGGGAAACCCTAGATCAGTTGATCGGATGACGGCGACATTCATGTGTCGTTACCCCCTTGGGGCGGCATTCTTGGAGATGCACTCGGACTCGAGGGACCAGCGGATGGCATCTGCGGTGGAGCGGTGTTTCTTTCTACATATTCATGGCGGCGGTTCTCGACGGCATGGAGCAGTGGAGACTTGGCATCAGATGTGTGGTGAGGGACACGCGCAGGAGGTCGACGTTGTCTGGCGTCGTGGTGGCGTCGATGGCAGAGTGGCCTGACAAGGTCGATACGTCAGTACATGCTTTGAGGATGGATCGAGGGAAGACGGAGGTGACGGCCCTTTGCAGCGTGTGCGTGTGGTACTCACTGAGAGTGCGCCGGACCGGAGTGTTACTCAGTCCCGCCTATGTGGCTTGGATGGGGCATCCGGCGTTAGATGTTAGGCCTTTGTGCGATGTCTGTTTGGTATTTGGCCCGGACATTTGGCACACCTTCATCAAGGGGATAGGAGTAGCGACAAGTGTCGTCTAGATGGTGGCCTCGGGCTTACTGTTGTATTACCTTATAAGGGTTGTGTGAATTAATAAATAATATGGCCGCATGCATCACCCAGATGCAGAGGCCGGGGATGATTCCTCCTTTTCTAAAAAAAAAAAACCCAACAACGACCAATGGCAAACAAAAGGGGAACGAGGGCTTTGCTTGTGCGAAACGGGAGCAAACCTTCCTGAGGTTGACACGATCCAGACGAGAGAGAGAGAGAGAGAGAAATTCTGAAGGAAGTGCCTCGCTTATGCATCGCATTACAGGGATGTCTGTCTCCGATCCCAGCGGCAGCGCGGACAGCGACCGGCGGCGCCTCGGGTCAACTGATCGTCGTCGTGTTTCGTGTGCGTGGCCAGCACTGTACGTGTACCTACATCTTGTATTTCTTCAGAAAATACTCCCTCCATCTCAAAATTCTTGTCTTATATTCGTCTAAATACGGATGTATCAAGTCACGTTTTAGTATTAGATACATCTGTATCTAGACAAATGTAAGATAAAAAATTAGAACGGAAGGAGTAGCATGGAAATAACATGCAGGACGGCAACCTACGTGATCATAAGGGTGGGTTCGTCGCGGCGTCGAATGAACAGCTGGAGCATGTCGCAGATGCAGGGACGGCGGAAGCATACACATTACGACATGGCTTACTATTGGCGCAGCAACTGGGGATAAGCAAGCTTATGGTTGAGTCGGACTGCCTTGAGGTGATCAATACTATAAATAATGAAGGCTTCACGGCTTCAAGCACGGCGGCGATTAATTCGGATTGTTTGGTCCTGATCATAGGATACACTTTGGTCACTTTTGTCCATTGCCCTAGAGAGGCAAATTCTGTATCTCACAATTTAGCTAGGCTGGCGAGGCCGTCCCCTTCATTGTGGGTCGAGGAACCGCCGGCTTTCATTGTAAAAGGTTTGGTGGACGATGTAACAATTATATGATCCAATAAAGTGACCAAAGTTAAAAAAAAAAGCATGCATGACGGCAAAATACCCAGCTCCTGTAGCGCACTGTTTCGGCACCGTCTCTCAGTCTCAGAGGTTGCCTCGTGATACTCCTGCCTGTTGGCCGCATGGATTGATGACGATGATGATGCAGTGATGCTGTGATTTTCTGAAGATTTGCAAGGTATCGTATCGAGACTGACTCAAAAATGTCTGGCTGGCTCTTGGTCACGCCATGAAATACTACTTTCCCTTTATGCAGAGCGAGCATGGTCACGCCATGAAATACAATGCCATATGTTTCAAATATTTTTTGGAAACATGTTTCACTTTATTTCAGCGAGTTATTTCCCTTTATTTAAAGTTTAAGATTAACATGGGATACAAACGCGTGGAGGTGGATTCGACAGCCACACACGGGTTCCAGACAACACTTCCTTTATGATCCTCTCCCTTTCATGGCTGAAAGATGAACCCTTTCAGCCTCCAAAAAAAAAACCTCCCGCAAAAAAGATGAAGAAGATGAACTCAAAGTCAGATATGGGCCCTCGCGTGACGAATAAAGGCCCAATTCGTCCTAATATCGATCTCAGCCCAGTGTCGCTGCCTGGTTTATGTGTCCGGTACTCCCAACGTGCTGGGCTATATTAAGCCTCGCTGGCTGGCAGTAGCTTTTCTTACGCGCCTGTTGTTACCGTTGCCATGACGACAACCACCGTGACCTGCTACGCTTGGAGTTGCTCGACACACCAATGGTGCGGGCATCATCACTGTAGGAACAATGGGCGTGAACGGGATCATCGGAGGCGGCGAGCCAAGAACCATCCCCGGTTGGAC